CCAGCCAGAGCACCGGGCTGCTCCCTGAAGAGTGTGCCATCAGAGATGCTGAACTCTGGAGGCGCATGGCACCTACTCAGACTTCCACAAGTCACCGTCCCCTCCCTGAGGAGTAAGCGAGGCGGCTAGGATCACGGCCAACTTGCCAGGAAGTGTGGCAGGGCCTTAGTAAAGAGGTTTTCTGAAACACACCCATCACTGCCCGTCACTGTGGGCAACTCACCGAGGTGAGCAGCAGGGTTGAGGAAGTTGCTGTGATGAGGAGGCGGCCCAAAAGGGGTCCCCGTGGGGTGTGCAGCACCTGTGGAGACAAACACAGCAGATCAGATCCCCCAGGAAGCCAGCTTCTGCAATGCAGCTGGCTCCTAGTGGCCTGCCGAGCCCAAGAGGGAACATGTGAAGGAAGGACAGGCTAGGGCCACCCAGGCAATACCAGGAAGAAAGACACTGACGGACAATTAGAATCATCAAAAAACACTGCTGGGGACGGGGGTTCTATAACCAAAAAAGGTCAGAGGAGAAATGCCGGGTTAAAAAATGTCAGGTAAAGTTCTTCACTGAAGGAAGGAGAGCCACACTCTGTCCATGGCTCACCGCCTCTCCGAGAGGGGATGTCTGACCATGATGGAGCCAGTCTTTCACTCTGAGAGACGCTGGTGTGGAGACTATACGTCCTAACGCCTGGCTCAGGAGCGGCCACATGAAGCTGCCTGTCTGGGCTGCTTGGCTCTGGGCCCAGCCCTGCACTGGAGGACAGTGTAAGCCCGGCCCTAAGAAACGGCTGTGCTCCTCTGGGTCCTGGGAGACGGGTCCCCTGCTTTTGCTCAGTCTGCAGTGCCGGGTCAGCCAGTTTACTCACAGGTTCTAGACGCTAATAATCTGTGTGTGGTGTTTTTTAATACTCACCTGAGGACATTTTTCCATTGATTTTTAGAGAGAGTGGAAGGGAGAGGGAGAGACACAAAGAGAGAAACATCGACGTGAGAGAGATACATCGATTGGTTGCCTCCTGCACCCGCCCTGACCAGGACCAGGGATTGAGCCTGCAGCCGAGGTACATGTCCTTGACTAGAATCGAACCTGCGACCCTTCAGTCCACAGGCTGGCACTTTTTCCACTGAGCCAACCCAGCCAGGGCAGACACTAATAATCTTATAACTGGCTCTACTCGTCTGCCCACCAGAGAACTCAGGCCTAACTTTGTGGTTTTTCCTTTATCCATATTTCCTCCTCTACTTTATAATTTGCCTTACACAATATGTACAGTGGGGCCTTGACTTACGAGTGTCCCGACTAATGAGTTTTTTGAGATACCAGCTGTCTCTCAGCCGATTTTTTGCATTGAGTTGACAGAGTAATTTGAGTTAACGAGCTCCTTAACGAGCTCGGTCTCGGAACGAATTAAACTCGTAAGTCAAGGCCCCACTGTACTTAAGATGCCTTAAATCCTTTTCTTGAAGGGAGCTGGGGAAAGAAAGAGAGAGCGAGCTCACATGTGAATCAGGGAAGGACAGTATCCTGAGAGCTCGGGGCCCACACTGGCTGGTGGCTGTGAGGGGGAGCTGAGGAGGCAGGCTCGGCTCTGGCCAGGGTCATCTGAAGAGGCCCCTTTAGTTTATTCCAGGCACTAGTGCCCAACGGTAGGACAAAAGTGGCTGAATTAACAAGTGTGCGCCAATTTTACATACCGGTTAAAAGTTTCACCAAATAATCATTTGGAGCAGAATCCAATATTGCTGGTACTACAAAAGATTACCTCCCAGAAGCGAAGGCTAAACAGGGCCTAATGACTTCACTAACAACTATTCTAGAATCCCTTGCACTTAGGCTAAATTCCTATGAACAAGTACAAGTTTCTGCAGAAACACAGATTAAAATGGAGGGTAGTCCCATCCCAAACCCCCAGTGACTCGGTTTATGTTCCGGATCGTTGTCCCCCAGCCTGCAAGGGACCATAGTCCGGGGTGTGGAAGAGCCCCCCAGCACAGAGGCCCCCATCCAGTGTCCCAGAATTAGAAGGCACCCGAGCAGTTCTCTGCTCAGCCCTAGACGGTGACTTGCTCTCCACCCAAAAAGTGCAGAAATGATACCCTGTCTCCACAGAGCGGATGTAGCCCAGCACACTCATTAGTTATTAGAGGTGCAGCTAAATAAAAACCTGGCTGAACACTGTGTGGTGCAAGCTCATTAATGCTTCTGGGAAGACAGGAGCTTTGCCGGGCCCGGGCCCCAGGGTGCCTTGCAGTCCCCAAGTTATTGAAGCAAAAGAAGCCCATTCATCTGCTTGGCCCAGATGGAAGCCAGGGAGAAATCTATTTCTCTCCCAAAATTGCTCTTAACGTAGCCCTGTCTCAGAGCCTAGATGCCATGGTAACAAGGCCTTCAAATACGTCCCTAGACAGAACTGACAGAGGAAAACCTGAGACCTTCGCAAATTCCATCTACCCTCCAGGGCGATTCACTGGCTTTGGCGACAAAGCCCATTAAAATGATGACTTCTCGCAATGTGGGTGTTTCTCTCATCTTGAATGAAGAGCTTTAGGTCCACCAAAAGCAAGTCCTGGATAAAAGCCTGGGAAGGCGGCAGGCAGGGTGGATGTGCAACTTGTTCCCTGATGAGAAGCAGGAGCCCCTCGGAGACTTATGTCCAGAAGAATACATTCTACCCAGCACGGTGGGGCGGTATTAGACTATGGAGCTGGTCACTACAGGGAGCCTTGTGGCGTTGCTTACTATTTTATCAAGTGGGGACCAGGCGCCCGCACTGAGGACAGCTTTAGGAAAGACCGAATAAGGAACCTTTGCTACGAGGCTGTGCTCATCCACCCAATCCTCCCACCAGCCACTGCCTTTCGTTTGCATGGACCTGGTGCACAGGCTGGTGGCCACGTGAGCAGTGACCCTCAGCGGCCCCCAGCCCCCGGCTGTGCGCACTCTCAGATGTTAACGAGCATATCTCCTGGGTGTTTCATACCCTGTCCCCTACACTTCCTCCATTATTACAACCAACCAGCAGCCAACTGATCCACCCTCCCTATCACAGGCCCTGCTGCCAGCCACTAGCATAACTGTAGAGGGACCCTTGGACAATGTGGGAGTTAGGGGCGCCAACCCCCTGCCAGGAGAAAACCCGCATATAACTTTTGACTCCCCTGAAACTTAACTACTAATAGCCTACTGTTGACCAGATGCCTTACTCATAACATAAAAAGTCGACTAACGTATTTTCTATAAGTATTATATGCTGTATTCTTAAATAAAGTTAGAGAAAAGAAAATGTTAAGAAAATCATAAGGAAGAGAAATACATTTGCAGCGCTGTGTGTATTCAGTGAAAAAACCCACATATATGTGGACCCACATGGTTCAAACTGTGCTGTTCAAGGCTCAGCTGTATTTCTTTATCTTCAGACCCTCAAACACAGCATGACTGAGCATCGTGGTGCAAAGCCACTGAGCTCTGTGGGCACCAAAGTGAGGGCAACCGCAACCTTACAAAAGTGCTGGGTCGATTCCTTCCCATTTGCCCTTTCGAACGTTCTGATCTTTCTTCAGCAGTGGTTGATGTGCTTGTGAGTTATACTGGCTTAATATAGAAGCAAATAACGAGCCAAAGCAACGTGAGTCCCTGAAGGGAAAGATGATGCTTGTTTCCTTCTTTAAGGGAGAAGGATGTATCAACGAAGGAGGCCCATTTCCCTTGCTGCACTGCGAGTGGCCTCCCGGCCGGCAGGAACTGTTTTGTAGGGAGTGACTGCTGAGCGGTGGCCCAGAGCGCAAACACAAAGCCACCCAAGAACAACCTGTCTCAGTGCCCCGGGCCCTCGGAACTCACCTGCGGCAGAGAACAAGGTCGAAGGCCGTGCCAGGTCGTGGGGGTGGTGGATGGCTCCAAAGAGGCTGGGGCCCGGAGGACGGCTCAGGAACTCGGGTTTCAGTCCGAAGTCCAGTTTATGTGGGTCTGACTGCATCTGTTTCTAAAGCAGCAAAGGGGGGAAATAACAGATGACGTCCCCAGAGGATCGGCAGGGAAGAAGGACATTAATGAGTGGCTGAGACCGAGAGACTTGGTGCACTCGGGCTCCGAGCCCCCATCAGGTGTGAGTTTGCGAATGCTGTGAGGACCCAGCAACCCACAGTGTTTAACCCTCGATGCCAGGATAGCAGCTCAGCCAAGAGAGGGCAGCAGGGCTGGCTACTGGGCAGCACCTGCCTCTCAAATCAGAGGGTCAAGTGGCAATAAAATCATATCTTTATTTACTCAAACCACCACCCCATCCGAAGTAGCTTATGATTCCAAGTAAAGGCCCATTTTAGCAAGTTTTCAAATGAGCATTTTAAAGCTCATTTTATTATGATTTCTGCACGAATATTCTTCTGTGTAAATTAATTGTTTAATGACTCTTTACCATACTCTAATAGATCACAGTACATTAGGAACTGAAAGTTATGAAGAAATATTTGCATGCCTACAAGCTAATTTTCAAATGATCATTGTTACACACTTAAAAAAAACCCCCACACAAATAAAGAGGAATATTAATTTAACTAATAGGGGTCTTTTCTTTGCCTACTAAGCCCAATTACTTGAGAAGAGATCAGTCCAGACCAGAAAACTACCAGGAACCTCTCGTTGTGAAGTCCTTGCCATCAACGGCAATCGCTCTACTTTCTCTTATTTGTACATCTGCCCTCAAGCTCACCTGTCAGCTTGCCTTCCCCCAGGGCTGCAGGGATTGGCGCCCAATCTGCCTCCTGACTCCTTAACCCGCCATCTTTTTTAATGGGCAAATACCAATTTTATTTCTATGCCGTAGTAATATATATTTCAAGATGAAACTTGAAATTATTATTTAAAATTACTTAAAATAGCAGTATTACTTTTTTCAATTACGGTTACGTTCAGTGTTATTTTGTTATTAGTTTCAGTGTACAGCATGGTGGTTAGACAATCACATACTTTACAAGGTGTCCCCCCTGATATGTCCAGTACCCACCTGGCACCATCCATAGTGATTAGATACTATTGACTGGATTTCCTACCAGGCAGCACTCAAACATTATCATTGCGAAGCTGCCCCACCTTCTCAACTCTCAATAGCCCTCTCAGAATCAGCTCGCACCCCCTTGGACAAGCACCAATCCCTTCCCCACACCCTGGGGCTTGGGGTCCGAAGCTCCAGAGCCTCCGTGTCCTTGTCACCTCCTCCCTGCTCTCCAGTCCCCTGCTCCTTCACAGCCCTCAGCTGCCTCTGACACTGCGCTTCCAATTTCTCAGGCGCATCTGACACTCTCAGCCCACTGGGTTCCACTCCTCCGCCAACTCAATTCTCTCATGTTCTGCCATAAGTAAACCCTGTCCCGCGGTACAAATCGACACGTGTGAGAATCAGAGACACGTCCGCTGTTCCTCACTGCCGCAGGTTGCCAGCCCACGCATCCATCACACCTATTTAGGATGAAGCTGCCTGAGCACCGGGAGCTGGAAGCAAGCCCCCTGGAAGCAGGCGGCACGCTCACCATTTTTTGTGCTCGCCCTGATCCTCGCCACTGAACTCTAAGCAACAGAAACCGGGCCAGCAGAGTGCCCTCTGAGCCGGGCACAGTAGGGAGCTTGCAGGCAGTAGGCTCCCTCCAAGAAATATTTGGTGAGTGACTAAAAGAATGAGTAAATGAACGTTAAAGAAAAAAGTGGGGGGGGGGGCAATGTAATTTCTGCTCAAATCTACAGGGAATACTGTCATGGAAGTCCCGCTATAAGGTAATAGCCAAACCCCCAGACGAAGCTTCTAATCCACTATAAATCTATAAAAACCTTTTGAATGGCTCCTTTAATTTGGTTGCCAAATTATTTAGTGCTAATATTGCACGGTACACAGCACAGTTCCATTAACCACAAGGCAGGTCCATGAAGCAAAATGGCGCTTGGGGATTACAGAGCGCTTGCTGGAGAGGGAAGACGAACAGCCAGCTCGTGTAGAAGAGGCCTCCCTAATTGAATTGGGATAATGAAGGTTTTAGTCCCCGGGGACACTTTCATGGAAAGGAAGTTGCTAAAAGGGCACACACAGCATCCTTCATCTCTTTTACAGGAGGACATGTCTTAACCTACCGTTCCACCAACCACATCACCCAGAACAGAAAGCAAGTCGAGCTAAGTGTCAGCATCTAGTTTGCTCGTCAAGGTGCCCACCTTGACAAACCCAGTCGAACCATGAGGCTTCTCATTAAACCTCGCCCAACAATGAGGTAAAAGTGAGCAAAGCTCACTGATAGGTGTCAGGAGAAAGAGCAGGTATTTGGCACCAAAGCAAATATCTGAGTGGCTTTCAAACTTTTACAGGTTGGTTTTTAAAAAGTCAACTAACCATTAAACAAAAAACATGAAAAAACCATTTCTGTGGTCACTTGCTCGCCCTCCATGTTATTGCCTTCTTTTATTATTCTTATAATGGCTCCCAAGTGCTGTTGGGACTGAAAGCTTATTACTGAAAACCTGGGTTACCTGAAGCTTGTTGGATGACTGGGCGGACTCCTTCCCCCCATTTTTCCAGGCGTAGTTACACAGAATGTAAAATCTAAGTCGTCAGTTACTCTGCTCCCAACCCCAACCAGTGACGTCATAGCTGGTCAACTGCAGAAGTCTCTGACCACTTCCCTACTTTGTCCTAAAGGCCTGGTAAAGCATGCTATGTGTTCACCTGTGTGATGGGAACAGATGAAGAAGCAAAGTCATCTGTGGACAGGGGCAGACTAGCCAGACGGTGGTTCTGACAAGTACTGATTGGGTTCTAACCTCTGGCACCGGTCATCAGGAGGACCAGGGAAGACCAAATACTACCTCTACAGGAGTCATTTTTTAATCTGTGCCGAAGAATCATGTAGGGCTTAAATTACTCGATCATTTTCCCAAAGCTCTAAAATGAAAAGGACACACCCATTCTTACAGGAAAGAAAACTTTTGTACAGGTCTTCCTGCCGGCTCCACTCCCCCTGGGACTCCATCAGGGTCTGCGATAATAAACCTGTCCCATTGGAGGCATCTGGTCTATGGATTTTCCCTAAAATGATTAATTATTTTGGGATCTCATCTACATTTAAACTCTTTAGATCAATAAGGTGACAAAAATCTTATTTTTTTTTTTTAAGGAAAAAAATCATCAGGGAGTTGTCAGTTCGCCTGTTTTGTCCTTTTGCTGGTGGTTTCCCTAATGAACAGTAAGATTCCAAGCCGCGTTTTAACAGAGACTGGATCCTGCCTGCCAGGGGTCTCAGAATCTGTTCACATGCTCCCATGTGGGGGGATCACACGCGAGCCCGGGGCCCCACCCGGGCTGGGGAGGCAGACTGACCTTGACTTTCTGTTGGTGGTGGTAGATCTGCCAGGCAATGTGCACGTGCATCGCACACCACTTCCCTGGTTTCTGCAAAGAGAAACAGCGACGTGGTCAGGAGACCTTTCAGAGAAAACCGCCTTCATTTCCCCAAAGCTCTCAGCAGATTTGGGCTATGGAGGCTTTTTCACGAGGCAACAGTGCTTTCTACCCCAGTGCCCCTGTCCGCAGCTCCCCAGTGCCCAGGCCGAACGCCCCCCATCGGCGCCCTCCCCTCCCACGGGGTCCGGAGCTGGTGGGCTCCTCAGAACACCGCACTTGGTGAGGACCTCCCGTCACCCAGGACAGGACGGCAAACGCCTGAGGCCCACTCTGTGTCTCTGCTCCCCTTCTGTCCGGTGCCAGCTGGCAGACCTGGGAGCGGGGGAGCCCTGCTTAACAAACGTGGCCGTGCTAATGCAAACCGGCCGTTCCGAGAGCTCATTAGTGCCTGGGAATCATTCAAAACAAGGGAGGGTCCAGACCCCGGGTAACCCCGCCAGCCCCGGCTCTCCTGAACCCCCCAAGCAAGACAAAGGAGGTTCACACAGTTTCCTGAAGCCCAGTTCTTAGGGGTGCTTCCCTGAGAGCCACTGCCCATTCGTGCTGTGGGCACTGCCTTTCTAAGTCAAACACGGAGAGAAAGACGAGCACTCAGTTCTTCCTACTCTCTAGGCCTCTTCACGGGTTGGTAACTTCCCGTCCTGCTCTATGAGCAGGGGAGCGGCGGTGGTGTGCTGTCTTCCCACCTGGAGGCAGCGAACATCTCTTCCCACCGTTTGTATTCTTGCTACGTAATCTACCCAGGAGCTCCAAATGTGCGCTAACTACGGGATGGGTGAGGATAAACAATGCCCACTCCCACGCTGGCAAGGACAGCCACTTCCAGTGTCGACAGGAAGGAGCCGGTTCTAAAACATATACTTAGATCCAAGTCTGGGTCAGTGTTCTTTTATAATGAAATTATGGGTCATCACCTAAGTGATGGCACAAATCCTTTTCTCCCCTTTTTGAGGAATTGAATGATCTGATTTTACACACCAGGAGCGGATGAAGTATGGCAGGGCATCTTCTAGCTATCCATCTTCCAGCCAACCATCCATCCTCCCTCCCGCCCCAACCAACCAAGCCCGTCAGCATTCATCCAGGGGTCATCTGCTGGCCACGGTCCAGACCTCTAAGACATTAGCGTGCCAACGCTCACAGTATCCCTTCTCTGCACCAGAGAAGTAGGCTGAATGGCTGTGACACGTCGACACCACTTACTGCAGAACGAGGCAGCCCCAGCCAAGACAAACAGCCCCAGACTTTCTAGGTGCAAGACTCGGGGAAACCCTACTTTCAGCCTGTAGCTCAATTCTTCCCCTGTAAGTTCCCAGCAGCCTAACCTTTCACCAGAACTGCTAACAAGAGCATCGAACTCCGGTGGATTTTACCTGTTAGCTTTACCTCCACAGCCTGGCTTCCTCCAACACTAAAGCAAAACTGTTCGGGCCATTTGCAATCATACCACCTGAGAAACCCAACCCAACCAACCCACAACCCAACCCAACCAACAGAAAGGCCACTGCAGCGTTTCATTCCCGAGCTCCTGGGGCTTGTTTCCTCAAAGTGGATTTGTGTTTCTAACCCACGGGGAGTCACACAGAGGCTGCGAAAACAGTTCCAGAAGAAGCTCCTTACCCTTAACATAGGTCTGAAAGGATCTGTCAACTGTGAAGAGAAAATGACAACTTGGTTACATGCCTGTCACTCAAACAATTGCTCTAATTAACAAATTTGTAGTGCTTCATTAGGAGGGGAAATTAAAATGTTAGAATTTTACTTTTAAATGAAGCCCTTTTGGAGGATAATTAACCCATTTTCACACCATCAAGAGTGCCAACTGTCCCCTCCCCCACGGCACAAGCCCTGGTGGCTTCACTGACAAGCCCCCTGAACAAGTTCAATCAAGAGCGGTCTGCCCTCGGGCAACAGAATTTGCTCACATTACACATCTGAGGAGTTTCACTACCTCATGCAGCCCCCCCAAACCACGCGGCCTGGGTCCGAGGGAGAAGGGCCATCAGACCGTGGACGCGCACGGCTGGATGGGAGTGGGCATCTGGGGAGCGTGTCCTTCCAGACACGGAGCAGAACTAGGCTACCTCAACCAACGCCCTTAATTCGATGGCTGCACAGTACTAAGAGGTGTTAGACATTGTAAAGAAGTTCACTAAACATCATAAACATACTTACATAGTTGAGTCATTTTAAACTTCTACCTAACTCTGGTCACCAATTTCTGACTGCCCTTACCCAGGGAAAAAGACAATATTGTAAAAGGTCGTCATTTTGCACATGTACTACAAAGATGAGTGTAAACAACAATCAATGAACAAGGTTATGTATAACTTTAAATTCTTTTTTGAGAGTACATAGAGGCAGACACTGTGAATAAGTAACACAACCACAGCATAATGGATATTTTATGTTAGTGGAGAGCCAGAACTTCCTGACCCCAGGAAAAAAAATGCTCAATGCTTCTCTCTTCAAAACATTGTACAGTTATTTCTTTTGTGTAAGAGAAATGTAAGGAGATCCAGATGAGAAGATGAGCTGAATGCTACCGACACAAGCTCAAGTGCAGAATCCTTGACCTCAGACCGTAAGCCATTCCTCTGTCCCCAAGTCGGCACACCCTGTCCGGTGGCCACAGATGAGCAGAAGAGACATTATTTTCTAAGAGTAACTGGCATTTTCTTCCACAAACTAGAAGGAACAGCTCAAAGAGAAGCCCACTGGGATGAGCTAGAAGGAGCGAGCACTGGGCTGGCTGTCCCACGCACACAACCCCCTTCCCACTCTGTTACCTGGGATCAAGCCCGACTTTGTACGTACCCTCGGGTCCTTTTGAAGTAGAGTGTGCGGGACTGTCCCAGGTCGAGCAGCAACATCGATCGGGTTGGATGTCTACAAATTAATCAGACCACAACTGAGGGAGCATATAACGTGTATCGTGAAATTCTTTCACTCAGAATTACAGAAGTCAAACGCTGTTGTTTATGTTCAGTACTGTGTCCTATAGTTTCAGGTGCATGGCATGGTGGCTAGAAAATCATACACTTCACAGAGTGTTTCCCCTGACATTCCCAGTACCCACCTGGCGCCATACATAGTTATTACAGTGTTACTGACTGTATTCCCTAAGCTGCACTTTACACCCCCGAGACTGTTCTGGAACTGCCAATTTGTACTTCTTAATCCCTTCACCTTCCCTTTCCACCCAGCCCCCCGTTTTGCTTCATTCTGGAACATGAGTTAACAGTTTCCTTTTCCTCAGTGATCACATGTGCTCCCATCAGGACTCGCACCCTCTGTTCTCCAGGCACCCTGGGCAGAGACTGCCTCTCTCTCCAGCAATGGCATCTGAAGCCAGAGGCCACAGTTTGCTGCAATGAAGAGCAAAAGGCCCAAAAAGAGGATCAAGACACGGAAGCGCTGCCCGGAACCCGGCCACTCGCAGCCCCGTCACCGCTTTATCACCAGGCAGACATTCCAAGGACTGCTTAGGTGAACATCATCATCATTTGCTCTATCAGGTGCTTCTCATCAGAATAACTGGAAGTGTTTCAGACATTAAGCTAACGCTCTAAATTTTAACTGGCAGACAATAACAAGGAATTATGCTCCGTAATTACTCATTAGCAGTGGTGGAAATGGGACAGGAGAACCTAATTTAGGGACCACACAGATTTACATTCAGTGATTTCTAAAGTAATTCTGCTTCATCTTTCCTACTCCCCACACCCTTCTTAGGTCTCGTTAATAACACTAACCCTATCTGTAGGCTTTCGTCCTTTGAATTAACAATAGCAACAAAAAGCCTACTTTTGGCACAAGCAGCCACTACTTCCTAGTGCAGTGATGGCGAACCTTTTGAGCTCGGCGTGTCAGCATTTTGAAAAACCCTAACTTAACTCTGGTGCCGTGTCACATATAGAAATTTTTTGATATTTGCAACCATAGTAAAACAAAGACTTATATTTTTGATATTTATTTTATATATTTAAATGCCATTTAACAAAGAAAAATCAACCAAAAAAATGAGTTTGCGTGTCACCTCTGACACGTGTGTCATAGGTTCACCATCACTGTCCTAGTGGGTAAAGGTTTCAGAAAAATTTTCACCAGGTATGTTATTCAAGAAATCACAACCTCTAAGAATCCCTTGGGGGGCGGGGTGGAGGGGGGGAGCGGAGAGAGCTCAGGTTTAGGCACAAAGCTTGCCTACAAAGAGAAGAAGAAAAAAAAAAAAAGAAAGAAAAGCAATCAGCATATATACAACCAACAATTAAGCTGGAGTTGTTAACAGCCTGATTTGCATACATATGAAGAACTCACTAATGAACTGCAATCTACATATTCAATCAGTAAGATGGCCTGGAAAGGCCTATTTCAACACCAGGAGAGACACTTTCTTGCCCAGATGTAGTTTTCTGTGTGATTGGATAATTGTGAGTGAGGGAAATAGTCTAATTTATTAAATGACCTACCAGTCTGTTTGGGGATGTGCGAGAGATTTGTGGAAACCTAGAGGGGACGGACCAGGGTCCGGGGGAGTAGTAATGAGCAGATGGGGGAAGGAGTTTAAAAATCACCATCATTTTATCCCAAGATAGGAGATGTTTCACACGGCCGTCCTAAAGGCCTTGTGTACATATAACCTGGCTTATAAACTGTAACCCTGTGCAGGTAAATGTGGTTTCTAAGGTGTAGCCATCCCACCCTAACGCTTTTTAATTTCTTTTCCTATTTCTAGTATTAAGGCAACATGCTTTTGGAAATGTAATATGTGCTGATCCTGGGAGACTCTGGCCCAAAATAGGGGTTTTGTCTAAGAAATGAGATGGAAAATAACAAGAAAACCACAGTCACACACCACCAAATTTCCTACTTTAAAATCTGAGAAGGGTTCCTCGCATGAGAAGTACATTGTGGGGTTTTTGGTATGAACGTGAAGTAGGGACTGTAGCAGATTTAAAGTCACAAAAGGGTCGAATTTCTGGGAATTACTCCTCAGTCTTGACCCTCAGAGGTAACTGTGGCACCAGCATATCCCTGATGAAGTAGGAAAGAATGTGGCCATCATAAAGGGGGAAAGGTTAACTTCACATTAGGATGTCAGTGATGAAGGATCCTTGGCTTTGGCGTGTCCGGTGCAGGTGAGGGGCGGTGCAGGGGAGGGAACGTGTAGGGGAGGGCGGGAGGACTGAGGGGCGGAGGGGGAAGAGCACAGGAAAGGTGGTGCTGCTCTTCTATCTGCAGACAGATGGGGCCGCGGGGAAACGAGGGAGAATAAAAACCCATAGTTAAAAATACGTAATTTTAGTTTAGAACCTTTTCCTTCCCTTTTGTTAAAATCAATAAAGGCTCAGCTTTGCATCTTTGCTAATAAAATGTACCCCAAGGACGACTTCGTGCACATACATCTGACATTTGATAGAATTCTGACCAGAAGCTATGTCCACAATTTTGGTGGGAAAAATATACATCTATTCTGATATTTTTAAAGAGCACAGGAAATCCTAGCTCAACTGAGATTACATGGGTAGTACAAATTGAAAATTAAATTTGGCTGAAGTTTAAAACTACATGGAGCAGAAAAAAAGATTCCCCCTCTAATCCCAGAAAAGTTACAGGTGAGAGATCGTAGAACCCACCGCGTGCTTGGCCTGCGGCTCCACTTACAAGCATGCATGTGCGTTTCCACTGAAAGGTGCTTACCTTCGGCTGAAATGCTCCTTGTAGTGAACCAAAGGGGCCAGTGGGTGGAATCATAGGGGGGATGCCCGACACCGCAGGAGGGTAGGAATGGAAGAGCTGTGGCCAGAGACGGAGAGGGGAAAAGCTGTTAGCAGGAGGCGAACAATGCACTCCAAGTCCCTTCCCACAGAAAGACAGCAACATCAGCAAGCCAAGCAATCTCAGTTTGATGCTATTAGTCAAGAAGCCACGATGAAATGATCACACAGATGTGCCACGAATGCTTAACTCAAAAACTTAAAAGTAGTTCAGAATCAATCAGTCAACAAATGATGTCCCAGATGAGGACATCATTAGAAAGGGAGCTTTCCTAATTATTAATTGTTAAATCGATACAAGTCCTAAACGGTTGGAGGTTTTAATGCATATAAAAAAACAGGAGGGGGTGCTGAGCCAAATAAGATGCCCAGAAAATTACAAGTTAATTAGAAAAAGAAAAAGAGAAGAAGGAAAAAAAAAAAAGAAGGAAGAAAAAGAAGCAAGTCTTTATGAGTTCCAGGATTTTATACCATTAAAACTCAATTAGTTCTTTTAGATTTTTAATAGTTTGAGGAAATGAGAAAATATTCACAATCCTTGCTTCATTAGGTTGCTCTAGAAGTGGCAGCTCCAGAGGACAATGTAATTGTCTCATCTGAAATGATGACAAATATTTGTGGGAGGATCAAATAAAAGGACTCAATACAGACCCTCAGTGGAGCCGCCCACTCTTCTGCAAGATGGACAAGCTCACTGGAGCTCCCAGTCAGTGAGGGAGAAGAATGATTCTGAATTAAGCATATACATTCCCTTGAATTAATAGTTTATGGACAGCACAGGGGAGGAAAGAGATATACAGAAATAGTGAGGACAATGCAAACACGTCTTTTCCTCTAAAAACTCTGAGATTCTATTGCTCTGGTTCCTACTTTGATCCAATCACCATACAGATATTTAAGTAACATCCCACCTATATGGTTTTGTGTGTGTGTGTGTGTGTGTGTGTGTGTGTATAAACAGTAATAATTCAAGCTTTCCTAATAATGCACTTATGTCAGCTATTTCTAGGTAACGCCTGGAATCCACATTTTAGAATCCTGTCTGTTTTCAGAGCACGTTCTCGTTCTTTATTTCATTTTCTCCCTTCAATGATGCAGCAAAGTTTTCCAGACTAATTGCTGAACTAAAAAAATACACTTAAACAGTGATTGCAAGCCAAGTGCCCTCATTTAAAACTACTTTTAAGTCTAAAATTGTGTTTTAGATACTTGAGTGCATTGCATCTTAATTCCCCGTATAACGTCCGAATCCCCAAAGCAGGGGAGACTAAGCATTTCACATATTACCCACGATAACCAGTAATATGAAATAACTCCCACAGTACACTGCATGAAGCAGAGTAATTAAATACATGCCACACTAAAACACACCCAACTTTCTTTACTCTGCCTCCAGGTGGGTGTTTTTACTTTAATGTTGTCAATAAAAAACTGCTGTTCTCACCATTTTCCTTTCGCCTGATTCCATTACTAACGCTTTTAGAATATAGCTACCTATCCGCCCTTGACTAAAAATCTTAAGTATGTAAGCAATAAAATGTAAACCTTCCAAAAATCCAGGTCCCCAGGCTCACTCTCCATCTCCAATCTAGAACTCTCTGAGGAGTATGCATCCAGAAAGGCAAGCCACCTGTTGATGCCCTAAACTTTCTCTAAGATGACTTTTGTTATAGCTGGGCCTTAATTCAAATCAGCAAGATACAGACAAAGGGAAGAGATCTGATGATGATTAAGATGGGGTCCCAGGAGCTCAAACATGCTTTCTTCATCCCTTTCTGAAGAGGCCTTCCTCATGTTATTTCTGAATGTCTTTAGACTGATTCTTCCTTGTTTTCCAGTATTTTCTAGTCTTGACTTCTCAGATACACCCAGGACTAACACAGTGCGTTATTATCTGGTTTTAAGCATGAATGAATCCACAGCCTTGGCTGACCTATTAAGTTGCACTTCTGTTCAAATGATAACACTATTTAAAAATCAAAGCAAGAACAGTTGAGGATGGAGAATCAACATGGCTACTAGCAATTATTAATCTTCCTTCCTCCTGGTTTCATTTGAAAAATACAAATAAGTCTCTGAGCAAAGAAACTTGCACAGTTTCAGGTAAAAATGATGCAGTATTCACTCCACAATCAAAATATCATGGTAAGATGTTCGAGGTCTTTGTATAAACAGAAGGCCTTGCCTTATAAGTAACTGAACGTAAGACAGAGGCTGGTACCAATGTAATGTCCGGACTGATTCTTCCTTGTTTTCCAGTATTTCTAGTCTTGACTTCTCAGATACACCCAGGACTAACACAGTGTGTAATTATCTGGTTTTAAGCATGAATGAATCCACAGCCTTGGCTGACCTATTAAGTTGCACTTCTGTTCAAATGATAACACTATTTAAAAATCAAAGCAAGAACAGTTGAGGATGGAGAATCAACATGGCTACTAGCAATTATTAATCTTCCTTCCTCCTGGTTTCATTTGAAAAATACAAATAAGTCTCTGAGCAAAGAAACTTGCACAGTTTCAGGTAAAAATGATGCAGTATTCACTCCACAATCAAAATATCATGGTAAGATGTTCGAGGTCTTTGTATAAACAGAAGGCCTTGCCTTATAAGTAACTGAACGTAAGACAGAGGCTGGTACCAATGTAATGTCCGGACCAGACTCTTAAAATTGTGTGAAACAAGTATTATTTCTAATAAAGAAGAATGAGCTTAAAGAGAAAACTATCATCCATTTCATTTTTAAGGCCTTTCATTTACATATCTTTGTTTTCAGTCGTACACAAGCATGGGAGGACAAGAGCAGCAGGTGCTCTGCATGTAGTCGAAACACCTGCCTGGTGAAGAGCCCTGAGTCAAAAAGATAAGAGGACTTTCTATTTGGAGGGAATAACTCAAGTCGAATTCCAGGAACTCTGTGGATGGTGATATTTCAACTGATGACTGAAACCTTGAAAGTACGAGTCAACTGCAGACACCCCCGCTCTGCGGGACCGATGCCTCACTTCCAGGGAAGTCCAAGTTGGCTTCCAAGTCTGACGTTTACTTATGATCTTTTGATTCCAAAGATGATACTGCATCTTTACCCAAAAGCAAACGTCACAAAAGCAAGCATCCAAAAGTGACGAGGAGCAATGGGAATTCTTGCGAAGATGAGTAAGGAAAGCCGCTAGTCATTCATTGGTTTGAGGCGAGAGCACAGAAAATGGAAAAGCAGTTACAGTGAACGCATAGCATGGTAATGAGACTCACACTGTGCCGGTAGAATGGGTCAACTTTTGTAGGGTATTTGTCAAACTGTAAAGGGATCAAAGCAAAAGCTAGTTACTTAGAGAATCTACATTTCTGTTCACTGCTTCAGGGAGGTAGCCCTCCGCAAGCTCCGGTCATTAGGCTGCCATCAGACCCCACAGCCTCACTGTACATGAAGCCATACAAGCTCCTGAGTCACTCTGACAAGAAACCAACAAAAGTGGAAAAACAAAGAGAAAACCCACACAGTGCAGTTAGGTCCTGGCCGCACTATTGTCTCTTCTACTCAGTACTCAGAGACTGGCCCAGACCAACCATCTAACCTGGAGAAAGAGGCAGTTACTCAGGCAAATCGGAGAGAAGGCAGCATTTGACCTGTTTATCTAGAGAATTCCTCCATTTTCGCCTTCACTTTGGCAGAAGAATTGTCCATTCAGCTGTCTTCTGAAATGTATTACGCCCAACACAGAGCACTTTGGGCTAGGGCGCTAGGCCGTACAAGCTTTCTCGTGAGCAGAAAAGAGTGTGCCCTTGTTTCCTCTAAATCAGCGGTTCTCAACCTGTGGGTCGAGACCCCTTTGGCGGTCGAATGACCCTTTCACAGGGGTCGCCTAAGACCATCCTGCATATCAGATATTTACATGACGATTCATAACAGTAGCAACATTACAGTTATGAAGTAGCAACGAAAATAATTTTATGGTTGGGTCACAACATGAGGAACTGTATTTAAAGGGCCAGAAGGTTGAGAACCACTGCTCTAAATAATGCCGTCACCTGGGTGCTGTAACTCCCCTCTTTCCGATTTAATGTATTCATGAAACACCTCACTCAGGCGGCATAAACGCTTTCCCAGCCTAACAAGCCCTTGAAGATATAACTGTTGAAAAGTCTAGTTCCTCCAGAAAAAAGAAAAAGATACAGGATTTGGTCCCAAGACCTCATCTCTAATCTTCTAAATAAAATTTATAAAATAAACTTTAAAATACATATTTAAAAAAAATAGGTTGAAAAAAAAAATGGGGGAGAGCACAGGAAGAGAGGCAACAAAATTTGGTGAAGGGGATGCCTCTTAATATCATGGAACTGAGCCCGGCCGATGCGGCTCAGTGGTTGAGAGTCGACCTGTGAACCAGGAGGTCACAGTTCGACACCCAGTCAGGGCACATGCCCAGGTTTCGGGCTCGATCCCAAAGAGGGGGGGTGCAGGAGGCAGCCGATCAATGATTCTCTCCCATTGATGTTTCTATCTCTTTCTCCCTTCTCCCTTCCTCTCTGAAATCAATAAAAATATTTAAAAATATACTTATTTTAAAAACATGAATGGAATCTCTTCTCACAATGCCTATATTAACTGCCTTAAAATCAAGTATTTGATAGTAACAAAAATTAAGCAAACCACTCTATTACTCACTGTTGTGGACAGGGCTCTGTTTCAGGAGACTTAGCATCCTAATACAGCATGTCACTATGGATCTTAAGTTACAAAAAGTCCGAGCTGCTTCTCCCAGCATGCATTAGACCCCAGTCAAGACTAAGGCCACGGTTGTGGCCAGCAATACCTCTTACTGGGGCTGGGCTCTGTCCCTGCAGGGTGCATAGCTACCTGACCCCTTGCCGACAGAGCACAATAGCAGACCTGCACCATCTTATAGAATACAAGAAATTAAAAACCTCCAGCATCTGAAAGGGCAGAGTACCCCACGTGGTCCAAGTCTCCTGACAGCCCCTTTACCCCCGCCTCTTCCTGCCCCTGGCACTCTCTGAGTATTGATTTGTTCGTATGGGTGCAAAGCACTGACAGAGAGATTTATCTGGTGGTGCCCCCCAGCATGTTACAGAAAATAAAGTTGCCCTGTAAGTCAAGGTCACTGCCAACACGGGATGTGACTGTTCCGAGGGCACTTAGGAGAAAACGCACCCACAGTGCCGGACAGAACTCTGGGCAAGTTCCTTTTCCGGCCCAGGTCAGTGCTGGCTGCAGCAGGCACTCCCCCTTCCTTCCAACCAACACGAACAAGGCCCAAGGAGCCGCCAGCCGCTGGCACTCCCCCTCCGATCTCCTGCCCGGCCGCCCACTCCAACCCTGCCATCTGCATAAGGAGCCGTGCTCTACTTATCCTCACATTTCTGCCTGGGGTACGCACCATGGGAGGTGCTGGCGTCGGCATGATGGCGGTGGGCGGGATGGCGTGGGGGAACGGCGTGAAGGTGTGCTGGTGCGTGTGCTGATGCGTGTGCTGGTGCTGGTGCTGGTGCTGGTGGAACTCGGTGCGCAGGTAGGGCGGTGGGCCCAGGGAGGCCCCGCGGTCAGCACTCTGAGAGGCCAAGAAGCGCGTGTTCAGTTCCTGTCGCAGGATGTCTTGCTCTGGAAGAGAAGGGGAGGGGCAGAATGGCACCTGTCCTTGCAACAGTCATTTCCTTCAGAACAGGACATCCTCGTGCCTGAGGAAGGAGGGACCAGGGCGGAGGCACAGGAACGGGGCTCTCGGGGTGCAGCCGGGGCCTCAGATGGAGGCTGACGCTAACAGGGCCCAGCCACAGTGCGATCCTCCTGGCTTTGAAGGACCGTCTGTCACTGTGGTGCACCGACAGACTCCAGGCCAATGTCCCAGGTCAGCTTTCAGCTCTGTGGCTGCCAGCCGAGTGACCCTGGGCGTGGCTCACCGCCCATCTGTGCCTCAGCTTCCTCATCAATCGGTTGGGACACTCCTGACTACCTCAGGGGTTTATTTTGAGGGTTAAAGGAATCAACATAGTAAGTGCTTAAGAACAGTGACTGGTGTGCTAATTAATAACCGCCAACTGTTTACACGGCAGAGCTCACGTGCCTCCTCAAGGGTAAATCTCTGCGTGACGACTCTCTGTAGCAGGTCTAACATAGCTACCATGGACCCGAAATGGGGCACCGGTCCTGGTTAACAAACACAGGTGAGGAGAAAAGGACCCAGTATCTGATACTAGGCCTGTCCTTAAAATTCTGGGATGCACTGTTACAACAAGTGCACCTGCCCACCCTGGAGCCAGAGGCCCTGTCCACCTGGAAGAAACCCCTTAAACCAGGCTGCAGTCCAACAGCCCGGAATGGAGCAGACATGGGCCTGGGAAGCCTTGGTCGCTGCAGTGGGAGGCGGACGACAGGGCACAGGATCCGTGTTTCACTTAACTCATGGCTCCAAACACAGCGGCTCTCTCTGGCGTGCCCTGTTTGCCTGGCCTGTGCTAGGTGGGTGTGGGTGCTAGTACCTGTTTATGCTGAATCTCAGCCCACAAAGGATTGATGACAAGGTGGCGCCCAACAAAACTGAAAATCCCAAATACACAGAACCCAGCGATCAGGGACGGACAATAGAGACAGTGGGTGAGGCCGCCGGCGAGGGAGAGTGGGACTCGGGGGAGCAGGGCCCGGGCCTCCGTCCTACCTGAGTAAGTGCTCCCGGCCGGGTGTCCGGGGACCTGCAGACTCCCTGATGTCAGCGGTGGTGGAGGAGGCAGAGCAGTGGGAGGGGCAAACATATTGGGGTGATGGGAGTGTGCGGGGGGCTGGAGGGTGGGCGTGAAGCTGTGCAGTGGGCTATGGTTGGGCAGTGAGAGGGGGAACGGGGAGGCTGAGGGGTGGTGGGAGATGTGAGGAGGGGCCGGCTGAGTCTTCGCTGGAGTGCTGCTTCTGCTACTGCTGTTGGAGACCGAAAGAGAGAGGAAGAAAGAGGCAAGCAATTAATTTTCTTTAATAAAAAAATCCCGTCTCCCTGCTCAGAGCCATTCAATGCCTTTCTCTTGCCCCTCCTCAGAGACCCTGCCCTGTGCGCACGAGCAGCCTCTCTGGAGCTCACGCCTCCCCTGCACCTGCCGCCACCTGCGGACACAGCGACTGTGACCAGACAGCGATTCGACCCCAAACCCCAACGCTCCACCTTCAGCGGTCAGGCTCTCATCTCTGTCCCTAGAGGCCCACGCTTCCCATCTTGCACCAGCCATGCTTCCTATACAGCAACAGTGAACCAAGGGAGTGAGAGTGAGGACTTGCATTCACCCTGTCTGACACCACCTCGGAAATGAAGTCGCACAGAGAAGAGGTGAGCCAGGGAGCTGGGCTTCCCTGTCACCTCTACTTTCTGGAGGCCACGGAAATGGCCTTGGGCAGAGGGGGGCCTGGCCCATGGGGAAGGTACAGCCCCAGCCTGGCTGTTTCCTCACCTGTCACAGGGAGGGGAAAGCAAGCCCCTGAACGCCGGGGCCAGGGCCAGACCATTGCCATGAAAGCAACAGCAAAGACACCAAGCCCATGAGGCGTGAGGTAGAGTTACCACCCCTGGGACAACACGATCCCGCCTCCCTGTCCTCCGCAGCTCTCCTCTGGGCTAGCTTTTCAACTCTCCGTTGCCATTTGGCCGAACAAGACAGAAGAGGGCCTGGGTCTCTCTAAGGAAGCCTCCTTGTGGACACCCAGCTTGTTTCTTCTCCAACTGCCTGACCCACCTCAAACCAGACTGCCCCTCAGTCCCATCCTCCCGGCCTCCGTGAGAGCAGCTCCTTTCAAACCTCCGCCCTCCTCAGAGGCCCTTTTGAGACTGAACCCGCAGGGTTCGCTGCTGGGCCTCACTTTCCACTCCCGCCTCACCCTCGGGGCTCCAGGCATGGCACCCTCAGCTCTGCTTCTTCCCCATCCTCTCCTTCCTGCCTTCTCCCTCAGGAGCCTGCAGATATTTCAGTTCTTTACAATGTCCTCACTACCCAACCCAAGCTGTCCTCTCCCAGGAGACCAAGTCCCACCTCACCGTCCCTTTCTGTCTCTACTTCGGAGAGAACACAGTGACAATGTTTTCAACAAGGAAGCTCCCGTCTCCCCGGGAACCTCTTCCCCACTGCTTCTGGCTCGTCCCATAGCAGATGGCAAAGGGCAGGCAGAAGCAGAGCAGGCCGGCTCACCTTAAGCTGTTGAGGCTCAGGCTGCTGCTGTTGTAGGCTGACAGGGGCTGGGGCAGGCTCTGGGAGGCGGGGTGGGCCTGCACAGGGGGCAGGCTCTGGTGCAGCAGCTGGGGGGACTGCAGCCGGGGCGGCCTCT